TTTCTGCAAACAATTAATTGAGAGTATGTTATTTGTCAAATTGTGCTTGAAACGTTCAAAAATATGCGAAAAACTGCTCTTCAACTGAATTCAATATGGAGCATAATAAGTCAAATTCATTTATTTCATCCACCCATTTTCTTTGCTGTCGTGCTTGACAGAATGCGTCAAAGCAAACAGAAGAAAGAATTCCTCTTCATCAAAGGGACTACTTGACGTGTGGAGTTGAAAGCAAGAATAGAAAACGGGATATCAAGAAAATTTAAATTGAATAGCGACTGTTTTGCCTCAACGAATTATTCTGCCCTCGCGGACATTTTACAGATACCTTTTAGTCATTTTCCTGCGTCCACCTGCCACTGTTTCTAGAGACACCCTGTATTGTTTCACTTTAAAGAAAAAAAGGAGAAGGTCAAAAAAGATATAAGGAAGATTGCGTACATAGGATTTCTAGATTTGGAAAAAGCTTTTGACAATGTTAAATGAGACAAGATGTTAAAAATATCTACGTACTTAAAAATGTATGGATGAGTTACAAAGACAGAAGAGTGATACTTAGTTTGTATAAAAAACAACAGGCAGTTACAGAGCTAGGGTTGCAACGTAGAGAAGTAAATATTAGGAAGGGAGTCAGATAGGGATGCACACTGTCAACGCTACGTTTTAATCTATACATCGAAGACGCGATCAACATCATTAAAGACAGTATAACTGTAGGGATAGATTTACAGGCGCAAAAGATTAGTATGCTTAGATTTGCAGATGATATAGCAGTATTAGCTGGTAATACTGGTATACAAGGGAAAAAAGTAGGGAAAGAGCGAATATAAAGATAGGAGACGAAAAATTAGAGGAAGTGGCTGATTTTAGATATCTAGAAAGACAGATAAGTCATGATGGAAGGAGTAGTAAGGATATAAAGTAGAGTATAGCGCAGGGTCGAGTCGCTTTCAATTAAAAGAAGTCACTTCTATGCTCGCAAACGATTAATTTAAAAAACGATTGGTAAAGGTATATGTTTAGCGCGCAGCGCTGTACGGATGCGAAACACGGATGATGTGCGTTGCGGAAAAGAAAAGGTTAGAAGCGTTCGCAATGTGGTGTTACAGGCGAATGATGAGAATACCGCGGATAGAGAAGATTAGATACGAAGAGGTATTAGAAAAGATATGAGAACAGAGGACTCTATGGAAGTCAATAAAAAATAGGCGAGATAGGTTGGTAGGACACCTTCTCAGGCATGACGGTCTACTCAGAGACATATTAGAGGCAGAAACGGAGGTTGGAAGAGGTAAACGTAGACCTAGATTAGATTACTGTTCGCTAATAGTTAAGAATGTGGGTTGTTCTAGTTTTAGGAAAATGCGAAGATTAGCTCAGGATAGGAAACAGTGGAGGTGCGTTTCCAGTATAAGGACTGACGACCTTATGATGATGAAAGAAAAAACTTTTTAGAAATATTTATATGTATATATATATCAGCGTGTGTTGTAGCTGTGAACCATGGAAAGGGGTTGGGTGTCGTTTGATACTTACAGATAACAGTAAGTTGTGCATTGGCGCGAATCGCTTTTTGTAGTCGTGCAGGTCCAACTTGACACTGGTACTCGGCGTCATCTTCCAATGATGCGTTGCTGATTCTCAAGTTGTAGACACCGTGATTTCGATCTCCTATTACAGAGTACCGTGGGAAGCCTGGTATTATCGTCAGAAAACCTGAAACCGAAAATTAATCGCCGTGGACGTATGCAGTATGTAAAGAAGGCGGCTGTACTAGATAAGGACTAAATACAAGATCGTTAACACTTGCTTTTGATGTTTTTACGCAAAATGTCTCGATAATGATAACCAATCATTCAAAAATCATTCTAATCGAATAAGTACCTAAAAACTTATTTGACCCATTGTTTTATCCATTTGTTCATAATTATTTAAATTTCGAATTATTCGGATTTCATATAACAATTCAGATATAATACATTTCAGGAAAAAGCCAGTTATTGCTAATACCATAAAACGCCTACAGATGTCGCCTACGATCTCTTTCTTGAGATTTGCTCATCTAATTTGCATACAATTTTAGCTTGGCCATTGGCTTATCTAAACTAATTATGATTATGATATAGTGATGATGTGATAAGAAACTAAATGTTCATATTCGCAAGCTTTACATCTAATGATTTCAAAAAATTGTTAACCAAGGATTCTATAATTCTATAATTTGAGAACAATTTGAGTTTTTAAAGAATTGATTTTTAACATCTAATTTATTAATGTAAGTATAAACATTTCCAAAAGTATTCAGGCCAATACTTAGCCATCCCTAGTATTAACAACAATTTCGAAAATTGATTTAAAAAATATTCAACCTCATCGTAAAACATGATTATTATTCATTTTCATCGGAAAAAACTTGATTTCATTGTTGATAACACCTATTAATTTTTAATTAATAAAATCATTATCTCAGTCTATAGATATATTATGAATCAATATATCTAAAAATTTGTATGTCTGATTTTTAATATCTAATTTTAATGTAATTATAAAAATTTCCAAAAATATTTAGCCCAAAACATAACCATCGCTAGTATTTACAACAACTTCGAAAATTGATTAAAAAAAACATTCATAATCCCGGTCTATAAATTATAACTCGATATATCTAAAAATTAGTGTGTCTGAACTTGTTAAAATAAAGTTAAAATTAAAATACGTCTTCAATTTAATGATGCCCGTCAACTTCAATGGTAACAGTTTAACTCATCTACTGAAAATAAAAGTAATATATATTCATGGTATTTTTGACGTGACAACGTCTTATAATTCGATGGAGCCGGTTGCACGCACGAAAAAACATGACTCATGCGGCGTTACCTCGCTCTGAGGCGTTGATTTAAGGCTTGAAGTGCAAGCGAGAGCGCGGAACGAGCGACAAAGAGGCACAATCGGCCTCTGCGTTCGGCAGCGTTCAATATCTGTCTCTCTCCTACTTGAGTGAGCGATGCGTCCGCGTGGACAGCTGCTATACAATAATACATTTCCGTTTACCTCCTTCTCTATATCCATACAAAATATCTATCAAACAAATAAAATTAAAACTTTCTTTTGAAAAATGAAACCATTCCATCAGTATTTTCTTATGACGTTGTCACGTTCAACTATCGTCAGTAAACCGACTTTACAGACAACCGATTTTTTTCTTAACATTTGTTGATGCACCGTCAAAAAAATATTCAAATCCATTAAAACCACAAAAAAAAAACACGAAGAAAATTTTTAAAGTAATCATAATATCATCTTTGAAATTTAATCTATTTTTATGATAATTATTGTCAAAAAAGAACTTTTCAAGTTACTAGAAAAAAAAACGAATATTCGAAAATTGTAATAATTAAATTCGAAAATATTGAACAAGTACCTACTACATATGAAATCCGTAAACGTAAAATATAGTACTTTAAAGGTTTTTTAAATAAAATACCCTACTGTATGTAAAGGTACGTACCTAAAGCAAAGCCGTCTTTAGTCCATTGGACTTGTCCCGCTAAATTTCCCACTTCGCACTCCAACAGGGCTTCGCCCCCTTCTTGAACTTTCACATCGTGCGGCTGCACTCTAAAGTATTGTTGTTGAGCCGAAACAGCCGTCGCAGTCAAGAAGCTAAGTACGGTTACTAAACGGCCTAAAAGGAAAATAAAGCGAAAGTGAAAAAAACAGGAGAAAATAATAACGAAACTCTTATTGTTAGGCATATAGCATTGAAATTGCAATCACCACCCTTTCATTCGACGTTGATCAGATACGTATGTATTTTTGACAAGTTCAACGAGCGCATTTTATACAAAAGTGTTATTATATTCAACCCCTTTGCATACAGTACTATACGGTTCATTGAAAGTCGTAATACGTACATATACCAAAGCAAGCTGGTTTAAAAAAAAAAATCCTCTAATGTGTGTGTTGTGTAGGTATACAGCATTTTATAAAACACAAAGGTTTTTAGAAAACGACTTCGAATATTGTAGGTAAAACATGCAAAGAACAAGCGAAATTTAACACTATGACTTATGAATGACATATCCAGACGTTTTGTCATACGCCTAGGCGTTTTCCAAACAGAATATAGGCGTTTAGATTTATTGCAACAAGATGCCGCATTTATAAGCACTGTTTTACAATAATCTTTGCATCATCGGACGTACCGTACCTATCATATTGCAATTCAAAATATTAAAAAGAAGTTAACGTAACCTACATCATTCCTAAATCAACCTCACCTAACCTAACATAGTAACAAAACTTTTGGAATGCTTTTTATCTATAGCCTTACAAAAAAGGTAAAAATAACGCTAAATGATTTTTTACTGCACCAGAAGAAGTTGCTGGATTATCCCATAAACAAACAAAGCAACTCTCCTTCCGTAGACTCCCACCAAAATCTGCCTAGAGTTCTATGTATCCTTAATCGGGTACCAGGTCAGTTTAGGGTTGAGTTAAGTTAAGTTAGTAGCTTTTTCAGAGTCTTGCCTTTTTTTCTACACCCCTTGCTCCAGTATAATTCATCTGTCACCCTTTTCGCCTCCCACTGACCAGTGGTCCTATTTTCTAGACCAGTTTTTCTGCTAAACTGTATTCCGTGGATGTCCGAGGTTCTGTAGAGATTACCGAAGAGTTCCTCAAAACCCATGAAATTAGTAATGGAATCCCAAAAACTTTCCTTTCTACTAAAAAAACCTATGCGGTGGAATTCTTCCGTCATAATCCCGGACTATGGAGGGTAGAGGTACCCTCTATATCCTGGACATTACAAGGGGTTCTACAGTTCCACCTTCAAAATGCTGATCTGGACATTTACCCTTATTTGTTACAAATCTTTAAAATTAATTTTGCAGCGGTTTCTGTTATCCGAACAGGCAGAAATTTTGCATCCATATATATATCAGCGTGTGTTGTAGCTGTGAACCATGGAAAGGGGTTGGGTGTCGTTTGATACTTACAGATAACAGTAAGTTGTGCATTGGCGCGAATCGCTTTTTGTAGTCGTGCAGGTCCAACTTGACACTGGTACTCGGCGTCATCTTCCAATGATGCGTTGCTGATTCTCAAGTTGTAGACACCGTGATTTCGATCTCCTATTACAGAGTACCGTGGGAAGCCTGGTATTATCGTCAGAAAACCTGAAACCGAAAATTAATCGCCGTGGACGTATGCAGTATGTAAAGAAGGCGGCTGTACTAGATAAGGACTAAATACAAGATCGTTAACACTTGCTTTTGATGTTTTTACGCAAAATGTCTCGATAATGATAACCAATCATTCAAAAATCATTCTAATCGAATAAGTACCTAAAAACTTATTTGACCCATTGTTTTATCCATTTGTTCATAATTATTTAAATTTCGAATTATTCGGATTTCATATAACAATTCAGATATAATACATTTCAGGAAAAAGCCAGTTATTGCTAATACCATAAAACGCCTACAGATGTCGCCTACGATCTCTTTCTTGAGATTTGCTCATCTAATTTGCATACAATTTTAGCTTGGCCATTGGCTTATCTAAACTAATTATGATTATGATATAGTGATGATGTGATAAGAAACTAAATGTTCATATTCGCAAGCTTTACATCTAATGATTTCAAAAAATTGTTAACCAAGGATTCTATAATTCTATAATTTGAGAACAATTTGAGTTTTTAAAGAATTGATTTTTAACATCTAATTTATTAATGTAAGTATAAACATTTCCAAAAGTATTCAGGCCAATACTTAGCCATCCCTAGTATTAACAACAATTTCGAAAATTGATTTAAAAAATATTCAACCTCATCGTAAAACATGATTATTATTCATTTTCATCGGAAAAAACTTGATTTCATTGTTGATAACACCTATTAATTTTTAATTAATAAAATCATTATCTCAGTCTATAGATATATTATGAATCAATATATCTAAAAATTTGTATGTCTGATTTTTAATATCTAATTTTAATGTAATTATAAAAATTTCCAAAAATATTTAGCCCAAAACATAACCATCGCTAGTATTTACAACAACTTCGAAAATTGATTAAAAAAAACATTCATAATCCCGGTCTATAAATTATAACTCGATATATCTAAAAATTAGTGTGTCTGAACTTGTTAAAATAAAGTTAAAATTAAAATACGTCTTCAATTTAATGATGCCCGTCAACTTCAATGGTAACAGTTTAACTCATCTACTGAAAATAAAAGTAATATATATTCATGGTATTTTTGACGTGACAACGTCTTATAATTCGATGGAGCCGGTTGCACGCACGAAAAAACATGACTCATGCGGCGTTACCTCGCTCTGAGGCGTTGTATTTAAGGCTTGAAGTGCAAGCGAGAGCGCGGAACGAGCGACAAAGAGGCACAATCGGCCTCTGCGTTCGGCAGCGTTCAATATCTGTCTCTCTCCTACTTGAGTGAGCGATGCGTCCGCGTGGACAGCTGCTATACAATAATACATTTCCGTTTACCTCCTTCTCTATATCCATACAAAATATCTATCAAACAAATAAAATTAAAACTTTCTTTTGAAAAATGAAACCATTCCATCAGTATTTTCTTATGACGTTGTCACGTTCAACTATCGTCAGTAAACCGACTTTACAGACAACCGATTTTTTTCTTAACATTTGTTGATGCACCGTCAAAAAAATATTCAAATCCATTAAAACCACAAAAAAAAACACGAAGAAAATTTTTAAAGTAATCATAATATCATCTTTGAAATTTAATCTATTTTTATGATAATTATTGTCAAAAAAGAACTTTTCAAGTTACTAGAAAAAAAAAACGAATATTCGAAAATTGTAATAATTAAATTCGAAAATATTGAACAAGTACCTACTACATATGAAATCCGTAAACGTAAAATATAGTACTTTAAAGGTTTTTTAAATAAAATACCCTACTGTATGTAAAGGTACGTACCTAAAGCAAAGCCGTCTTTAGTCCATTGGACTTGTCCCGCTAAATTTCCCACTTCGCACTCCAACAGGGCTTCGCCCCCTTCTTGAACTTTCACATCGTGCGGCTGCACTCTAAAGTATTGTTGTTGAGCCGAAACAGCCGTCGCAGTCAAGAAGCTAAGTACGGTTACTAAACGGCCTAAAAGGAAAATAAAGCGAAAGTGAAAAAAACAGGAGAAAATAATAACGAAACTCTTATTGTTAGGCATATAGCATTGAAATTGCAATCACCACCCTTTCATTCGACGTTGATCAGATACGTATGTATTTTTGACAAGTTCAACGAGCGCATTTTATACAAAAGTGTTATTATATTCAACCCCTTTGCATACAGTACTATACGGTTCATTGAAAGTCGTAATACGTACATATACCAAAGCAAGCTGGTTTAAAAAAAAAATCCTCTAATGTGTGTGTTGTGTAGGTATACAGCATTTTATAAAACACAAAGGTTTTTAGAAAACGACTTCGAATATTGTAGGTAAAACATGCAAAGAACAAGCGAAATTTAACACTATGACTTATGAATGACATATCCAGACGTTTTGTCATACGCCTAGGCGTTTTCCAAACAGAATATAGGCGTTTAGATTTATTGCAACAAGATGCCGCATTTATAAGCACTGTTTTACAATAATCTTTGCATCATCGGACGTACCGTACCTATCATATTGCAATTCAAAATATTAAAAAGAAGTTAACGTAACCTACATCATTCCTAAATCAACCTCACCTAACCTAACATAGTAACAAAACTTTTGGAATGCTTTTTATCTATAGCCTTACAAAAAAGGTAAAAATAACGCTAAATGATTTTTTACTGCACCAGAAGAAGTTGCTGGATTATCCCATAAACAAACAAAGCAACTCTCCTTCCGTAGACTCCCACCAAAATCTGCCTAGAGTTCTATGTATCCTTAATCGGGTACCAGGTCAGTTTAGGGTTGAGTTAAGTTAAGTTAGTAGCTTTTTCAGAGTCTTGCCTTTTTTTCTACACCCCTTGCTCCAGTATAATTCATCTGTCACCCTTTTCGCCTCCCACTGACCAGTGGTCCTATTTTCTAGACCAGTTTTTCTGCTAAACTGTATTCCGTGGATGTCCGAGGTTCTGTAGAGATTACCGAAGAGTTCCTCAAAACCCATGAAATTAGTAATGGAATCCCAAAAACTTTCCTTTCTACTAAAAAAACCTATGCGGTGGAATTCTTCCGTCATAATCCCGGACTATGGAGGGTAGAGGTACCCTCTATATCCTGGACATTACAAGGGGTTCTACAGTTCCACCTTCAAAATGCTGATCTGGACATTTACCCTTATTTGTTACAAATCTTTAAAATTAATTTTGCAGCGGTTTCTGTTATCCGAACAGGCAGAAATTTTGCATCCATATATAGTTTTGATGACAATACAAAAATGTTTACTCTTCGGTTTTTAAATTAAGACTCCCACCAAAATCTGCCTAGGGTTCTATGTATCCTTAATCCAGTACCAGGTTAGTTTAGGGTTGGAATAAATTAAGTTAGTAACTTTTTTCATTTACTATCTACTTTTTTCGTCTACTGTCTTAACTTTTCATCTACACCCCCTGCTCCAGTATAATTCCTATGTCACCAAAAAGCACTTGTTTAGTGTTCTACAGGTCACTCCTACCCTTTCCGCCCCCACTGACCAGCGGTCCTATTTTCTAGACCAGTTTTTCTGCTAAACTGTATTCCGTGGATGTCCGAGGTTCCGTGGAGATCACTGAAGAGTCCTTCAAAACCCATGAATTTAATAATGATATCCCAAAAACCTTCCCTTCTACTAAAAAAACCAATGCGTTGGAGTTTTTTCTGTCATAATCCTGGACTATGGAGGGTAGAGGTACCCTTCATATCCTGAACATTACAAGGGGTTTTACAGTTCCACCTTCAAAATGGTGACCTGGACATTTACCCTTATTTGTTACAAATCTTGCAACGGTTCCTGTTATCCAAACAGGCAGAAATTTTGCATGCACATATAATTTTGATGACAATACAAAAATACTTGTCGCTTTTTAAATTAACAATTAACATGATTATTGAAAAAAAATCCCCCACTGAATTCAAACGAAAATACAGTAGCTAAACATACAGCAGACTGTAATTCCGCCAGTACCAACGTTTATTGGTTGACTCATATTCATCCTTTTACAATAGATGGCACGTCAATGTAGTTTTCCGAAAAAAACTTTAAACTCAATAATTATACAAATTTTCTAGTTATGGATCGGTCTCTTATACACTAGTGGCGAAAAGATAACCAACCGTAGGAATATTCTATTACATGCATTCAGCTTTTGAAAAATACGACATGGTAAAGGGAAATTCGTACAAATACCTTCGGCTACCTTTTCGCATAAACTCTAAAGTAATGTCAGTCCAATAAATGAAATTGAAAACATTTGAAAGATGCTACGGTCTGTTCAAAAGAATTTCATAATTTAGTTAGTTTTCAGAGAAACGACTTAATTGTAGGTAACATATACCTTTGATAGTTCCCTACCACTTACTTGTATTGCTTTCTTAAGTTATAGACGCCGAACATTCATTATTTTCAGAATCCACTTTTAGTTATTGCTTCATACAAATAAAATTCGTATTTTGTTGCTGCTTTGACCATATTTATAGAATTATAATAATAATAATAATAATATAAAGAAATAATATTGGTTTTCTTTGACTTCCCATTTATTAAGCACTAGTAGAAACCGTGTAACTAAATTTAGTTTTGAAAAAAAAAGCAATTGTTTCACTTTAACACCCATTCACGTTAGCCTTTGTCGATCTGAAAGAAAAATGGTAATGCTAAAGAAAAACAATTTCATATCATTACAATGTTATGATTGTAAGAAAGGAAACGTTTAGGTGCTTACCTTGATACTTTCACATTCGTTAAAATTGGAGTTTGTTGACAGGAAAAAATTTATAAAAGGAACAGACACACAGACAAATAATTGACATATTTCGTAGTTACGTTTGTCGTAAAAATATTTAATTGATTAATTACAAGGTTTGTGTATGGGATTTTTGACTCCTTAATTTCCGGTAATAGTTTGACAAATTCGTACATACAACAAATATGTACATTGTAACTCCATTGTGACATACACCTCGTTCAATAAAAACCGATTTTTGAAAAATTAAACCCCTGGGGAGAGTAAAAGTCTTGTGATAATTTACGTAAAAAATGTACAGTCTTCAAACTTCACGTTTTAATATATATAGGGTAACTTTTAAGGATGTTTGGGAGGTACAATCGGAAACAAGAGTACATAAAATTAGAAATTCGTGATTAATTAGGTTTTACAGCATATCATGAAGTAAATAAATACTATCTATACTAAAAAAAAAAGTATACGATTTGAGAGAAAATTTGGAATTTGACCAAAAACTTTGAATAAAATAAGAAATAACGAATAATATGGAAAATTTTTAACTGACTTTTGGCAGTGAATATGCCTTGATTTCAACTTCGAAACAAAAAAATATTTAGTTTCAATCT